TTACCCCTCTTTTTCTTTGTGTCTCAGTGTCCCTCTGTTGTTACTCTCTGCACCTAGGGATGACTACGTAGGTGGCTGGCTGGCTGGCTGGCTGAGTGAGGGTGTGGGTGTGGTTTCTTTCTCTGTCTCTGCATGTCTGTTTCTGCTTATGTCTCCACCATCTAGTCCCCCTCCTGTGCCTTATTTTTCTCCAAAGCCCTTATCATCACGTAACATAATATGTGTTTTACTCCTTTATCTTGCTTTTCTATCTTCTGATTAGAATTTTAACCCCCTGAAGGCAGGGATTTTTGCCTGTTTTGTTCCCTGCTGTGTTTGCTGGGCTTAGCACCATTATTGGCAAGAAGAGGGTACTGACTAATTATTTGGGAAATAAATGAGTGAACATTTGCATGCCTGGGTCTCTGGGCCCTTCAGGATCTGACCTTCCTGCTCACCTGAACTCTGCCCTGCATCCTCAGGGTCCCTCCACACTGGCCTAAGCCTGTCTGTCTCTGGTGCTTCCACCTCACCTGCCATCGCCCCTCATTGTCTCCTGTCCATAGGCCCTGCCCCTCCATCCACCTGCCATGGGGATCCTGGACTCTGACCCCTGTCCTTTTCTCTCTCCACAGAAGTCACACCAGGAGCTGACTGGGAGCTGGGGCCACGGGCCTAGGAGTACCCTATACAGGGCTGAGGCCATGGCCCCGCCACCACTGCCATTGGCTGCCAGCACCCCACTTCTGCATGGTGAATTTGGCTCCTACCCAGCCCGTGGCCCACGCTTTGCCCTCACCCTCACATCGCAGGCCCTGCACATACAGCGGCTGCGGCCAAAGCCCGAAGCTCGGCCCCGGGGTGGCCTGGTCCTGCTGGATGAGGTCTCAGGCTGCTGCACCCTGCGGAGCCGCAGCCCCTCAGACTCAGCAGCCTACTTTTGCATCTACACTTACCCTCGGGGCCGGCGTGGGGCCCGGCGAAGAGCCACCCGAACCTTCCGGGCAGATGGGGCAGCCACCTACGAGGAGAACCGTGCTGAGGCCCAGCGCTGGGCCACTGCCCTCACATGTCTGCTTCGAGGACTGCCGCTGCCTGGGAATGGGGGTGAGGTGCTGGGCAGCTGCTCTGTCCTAGGGCTACCTCCATGTCTCCTCAGATCTCCCTCTGGGCATCCCTGTCTCTATTTTTGTGTGTCTATGGCATGTGCCTCTCTGGGTCTTTATTGAAAGACTGATACACAGGAAGGAACAAAAACAGGCAGAGAAAAATGATTTGTCTGCTTCTGTCTTGCTAGATTTCTGTCTCCCTTTCCCCCTCCCGTGGGTCTTGACCACAGATGAGTCAGAGGTTCCCGGGCTGGTGAGAGCAGCAGACTGAGACATGATCAGTCACCAACAGAGTGACAGGCACCAACAGAGGTCCCCTAGGAGCCCAGAAGTGGCATCTAACCCAGTCTGTGGAAGGTCAGAAAAGGCTTTTGGGCAGAAGACACCTCCCCCAGGGTCCTCATTTGGTGCAGGAAGGTAAAGTTTTGAGGTGCCCCATCTGGTGAGCCTTCATTGGTCCTGCATGGTGCTGCTGCTGGCTGCCTGGGGCCCCAAAGGTATGGTGACAAGGAGCCTTGCATAGTGGAGTCACCTGATCCTGGGTATCAGGTGTTGGGGGCGAGGAAAGTGGGAACCACAGCTCCTATGCCCTTCTCCCACATATGGGTCCAAAGGGCACTTGGTTTCACACCCAATCTCTGCCACTGTCTCAGCACCTGGGAGAGTGGGGCAGGGCTGCATACCTGAGTCTGGCCAAGTGAGAACTGGAAGAAAAAAACCTCACAGCAGGCTCTGGGTGCCAGCCCTCCACCAATTTCATTGGGGGCTGTTTGAAGAGACTGTTTCCAAGGTGAGGGGCCTGGGTCTCTGGCCTCTACAGACCCTGTCCTCTCTCTGCAGAGATCACCCCTGAGCTTCTGCCAAGGCCACCCCGGTTACTCCTACTGGTCAATCCCTTTGGGGGGCGGGGCCTGGCCTGGCAGTGGTGTAAGAACCACGTGCTGCCTATGATCTCTGAAGCTGGGCTGTCCTTCAACTTCATACAGACAGGTAAGGGAGTTGTAAGGAGGGAGACTGGGGGTTAGGACTCTTGAGTCCTGGGGAACCAAAGGAGTGGGTGGGATTCCTGGGTCAGTGGGAGGGGTAACAGGAAGAGCCTGCCTAACCTCCTGGTTTTCTATATTAGAACGACAGAACCACGCCAGGGAGCTGGTCCAGGGGCTGAGCCTGAGCGAGTGGGATGGCATTGTCACTGTCTCAGGAGATGGGCTGCTCTATGAGGTAGAACAGGAGCACTCTGTCCCTAATCCTGAGCCCTGGGGGACTGCAGAGGCCAGGAACAGAGCCCAGGCATCTGGTCTCCCACCCTCCAGGTGCTGAATGGGCTCTTGGATCGCCCCGACTGGGAAGAGGCTGTGAAGATGCCTGTGGGCATCCTCCCTTGTGGCTCGGGCAATGCACTGGCTGGAGCGGTGAACCATCATGGGGGGTAGGTGGGGCACTCCTGCTGGGGAGGCCGAGGATCCCCTGAAGGGAGGGATGAGCCCTCCCGGGCACGTGGATCCCACATCTCCCCCTCAGCCAAACCCATAGTCAAGTAAATCAGTCTGGCTGTGGGATGCCCCCGCCCCCAGTTCCCAGACATTTTTGCCTGTCTCTTTCCCAGCTGTTTCCCTGGTGCCTAGAACAGTGCCTGGCACACGGAAGGCACTCAGTGAATGCTTATCAAATGCTAGAACTGACAGGGAACCCAGCCCAATAAGAAGAGTCCGTCTGGAGGTGGTCATATGGCTGCGGTGGGCTCAGGGACAGTGGCCTCCTTGGTCTCATGCTGTCTGCTTCCCTGTCTCCCCCTGCTCTGCACTCTGTCTCTTACCCAACCCTGTTTGCTGTTTCCCACCGTGTGTCCATCTCTGTCTGTGAAGGTTTGAGCCGGCCCTGGGCCTCGACCTGCTGCTCAACTGCTCATTGCTGCTCTGCCGGGGTGGTAGTCATCCCCTGGACCTGCTCTCTGTGACACTTGCCTCGGGCTCCCGCTGTTTCTCCTTCCTGTCTGTGGCCTGGGGTTTCGTGTCAGACGTGGACATCCAGAGTGAGCGCTTCCGGGCCCTGGGCAGAGCCCGCTTCACACTGGGCACGGTGCTCGGCCTTGCTACACTGCACACCTACCGTGGACGCCTCTCCTACCTCCCTGCCACTGTGGAACCTGTCTCACCCACCCCTGCCCACGGCTTGCCCCGTGCCAAGTCAGAGCTGACCTTGGTCCCAAACCCAGCCCCACCCATGGCCCACTCACCCCTGCATCGCTCAGTGTCTGACTTGCCCCTGCCCCAGCCTGCCCTAGCCTCTCCTGGCTCCCCTGAACCCCTGCCCATCCTGTCCCTTAATGGTGGGGGTCCAGAGCTGGCCGGGGACTGGGGTGGGGCTGGGGATGTTCCACTGTCCCCAGACCCATTGCTGCCCTCACCCCCCGATTCTCCCAAGGCAGGTCTACTCTCACCCATGGCTGAGGGACCCCCAGAAATACCAGCATCCTCTGGGCTCCCACCTCCCACTCCTGATGCCCAGGTAGCTGTCTCTCCTTGGGGCCCATCGGACCACCTGTTGCCCCCACTGGGTACACCATTGCCCCCAGACTGGGTGACGATGGAGGGGGACTTTGTGCTCATGTTGGCCATCTCCCCCAGCCACCTGGGTGCTGACATGGTGGCAGCACCGCACGCACGCTTTGACGACGGCCTGGTGCACCTATGCTGGGTGCGTAGCGGCATCTCGCGGGCCTCGCTGCTGCGCCTATTCCTGGCAATGGAGCGTGGTAGCCACTTCAGCCTGGGCTGTCCGCAGCTAGGCTATGCCGCCGCCCGTGCCTTCCGCCTCGAGCCGCTCACGCCTCGCGGCGTGCTCACGGTAGATGGGGAGCAGGTGGAGTATGGGCCGCTGCAGGCGCAGGTGCACCCTGGCCTCGGTACACTGCTCACTGGGCCTCCTGGGTGCCCTGGGCGGGAGCCTTGAACCGAACCAAACGTGGGACCCGCCGGGGGCGGGACCTACATTCCAAGGGGCGGGGCCTGAGCTAGGGGGTGTGGCTTGGCTGCCAGAGTTAGGCGGAGGCCCTGCAAGTGCAAGGTTTCTGACCCCGTCTCAGGATTGCGCCCGCCCCACAAGAGATCAGCCGTTATATGGGAGGGTGACCTGAATTCCAGGGGTTAGGCGTCGTCACAGAGAGAAATGGGCTCGTCCGGACGGTAGTGCCTGACTAGTGTGGGCGAGGCTTGACGTCTGCGCTTTGGTCGTCCTTACCGGGAGGGGCTTAGTCCTGACTCTTGCATCCGGATCGTACCAGCCCAGGGCGGCTGAGGGCGGAGCCTATTTTACGCATCGCCCAATGACGGGACCTGGAATGTACGAGTAGGGGGAGGTCGCCTTAGTTAACTGGTAGGTCAGACCCCAGGTCTGGCTCTATCCTCTTCGGTGCCTCCACTTAACTGGCCAATCAGCCCAGAAGGGGCAGGTTCCCCGGGGCCGGCTCTCGGATTTGCACTAACGTTCCTCTCCCCCCCTCTACGGGTGGCGGCGGGGAAATTCATTTCCACTGTTGTGTGTCCTGCGCGTCCCCCGTCTAAAAAGCAATTCAAAAGGTCTATGCAATAAAGGCAGTCGCTTAATTCCTCTCAGCCCTTCACCCGTTCCTCCATTTGACAGCCCCCGGCAGGTACCAAACTTGGCACTTCCAGCAGCTACTGCCTTTTATGGGCCATAGCCCAGATCTGCCCACGTGTTGGAACCAGTGTGACCTGCTGCCCTTGAACCGGGATCAGTGAGCTGCCTGCTCCCCCACAACAGCTGGCTCTGGGGTTCTCAAGATTTATTCAGGATAGTGTTAACGGAAGCGTTGGGAGGATGGGGTCTTCGACGTGCTGGGGGCACACACAGAGGATCCTCTCCACCCCCGCGAGGGAGCGGGGAGGCCGCTTTTTCTTAAAAATATAAATGTATTTATCTGCATCATCACGTCCCTGGGGCACCCAGCTGGCCGGCCCTTGGGGCCACAGGGTGGTTAGGGAAGAGGGCGTCAGGGCGCAAGTCTGAGCAAGGCAGAGGACAGCTCTGCTGGGTGGGGGAAGGGGGTGGCCTCACAGGGCCCCGTGCTGGGCCTGGTAGCGGGACAGCACAGCGCGGTAGTGGGATAGCTCCTGGCGCACAGCCACCACCTCCTGCCGCAGTAGGGCATTCTCCTTCTCCAGGAAGGCCGCCCGCACTGATATCTGGTTCTCCTTTAGCCTCCGGGCGTCGCGGGACCTCTTGGCTGCCTCGTTGTTTTTGTACCGCCGGCTCCAATACTTCTCGTCCTATGGGATAGAGGGGTCGGAGGGCACTGAGGTCCATAGAGAGGTCCCATCATAGGTCCCAGCAAGAGAGGAAGGGAGGAGAGACACCAGAGCTGCTGCTTGCCCAGCAGTGGGGCCTAAAGAATACCCGGTCTCATGGGGCCAGCCCGTGTCTCACTTGGGAGAGTGCGGTGCTGATAACACCAAGGCCAGGGTTCGGATCCCGATGACACACAACCAATGGGGCCCCAGGTTGTCCAAGGCCCAGGAGGGCGCGTGAGGGACTCAGCGCGTGAAGTTGCCTTGCCTTTCGGAGGGAGGCGGGACACTGACCTACATTTGCCCAATGGGAGGCGGCGCTGGGGGCAGGACCGTGACCCAGTTCGGGCCAATGAGGCGAGAGGGAGGGGGAAGCACATGGCTCTGCGCGTGCTGCCTGATTTGGGGCGGGGTGGGGAAGAGAGGCGCTGTTTAAAGGAGCCCCACGTCCAAATGATTGTTTTGGGAAGCAAGAAGCCAAAAGACCGAGTAGCTGAGATTTAGGAAGAGGGAGATTAGTTTCTGGAAGAAGGCTGCTGTTCTTTAATACCGAAATATTTCCCCACCGCGCCTAGAATCAGAACACTGAGAAACAGGAAGTATTCTTTCCCTTTAATAGCTTTGTTTTGTGGGTGATTCCCTTCCCCTCGAGGGGAGGCTTGAGACCGGCAGGCGCCATCCTCGAAGGGGAGTCTCAGCGACCATGGGGGGCACCATCCACTGTAAACAGAGGACACCTCGTATAACTTCGTATAATGTATGCTATACGAAGTTATTACGGTGCTGATAACAGGAAGGTCACGGATTTGGATCCCCATACTGGCCAGCCGCCAAAAAAAAAAAAAAAAAAATACCCAGTCTATGCTGAGATGGGTACCTAGAAAGGCCCTGGTGGTTAAGGAGACCAGGTCCCCAGCAACACTAAGGCATGAGATAGACCCCCACTCCCAAGGAACTGGGCTTCCAAGTCTGCACTGTGCAAAGCAGACCCCAGCACTCCCCACTTAAAAGGCGTGCAGTTAGCTCCTGGTTGCTAAGGATGCTCATTCCCTAGCAACAGGGTCTTCAGGGTCTGAGAGCTTCTCCAAGTGAAAAGCACTGTCTTACACATCACCTTTCTAGATCATGGTTGCCAAGGAAAGCTTAGGTCCCCTAGTGATGGGGTTTGGTGTCTCATAAAATCCTCCCAGAGCTGGGCCCCTTTTGACCTGGCTGCCAAGGTAACCTCATCCCTCCTCAGCAAACAAAAGTGAGGTCTAAGTGGTCCTGATTGACCATGGCCAGTCTCTGACCTTCTGGCCTTCAACTGGGGCCAGGGAGCTGCCTCCTCCCTAACAAGACCTGGTTGATAGAAGAGTTGTCCCTTAACAAAGGGGCCTATCTGGAGATCTCCCCAAAATATTATACCCAGGGTCCTCCAATCCTGGAATTTGGTTGCTAAGGAGGACCACTCCTTAGTAACAAGGACCACATAGCTCAGAAAGATTCTCCCCCATTTATTTATTTATTTATTTTTGTCCTTTTTTTTGAGACCGGCTGCACTGCGTTCAGCCAGTGAGCGCACCGGCCATCCCTATATAGGATCCGAACCCGCGGCGGGAACGCTGCTGCGCTCCCAGTGCCGTACTCTCTGGAGTGCACCACAGGCTTGGCTCTCTCCCCCATTTAATTAAAGTCTAGTTCCTGTTTGATAGGGCAAATCCAGTCCCTAACAAGACAGCCCTGCAGCAGGGGAAATCACTGGTCTAGATTTGGCATATAGGCTGGTCCTAGCTGCTTCAAGTAGTTGTGTCTTACACAAGAACACAGCAAAGTCTTACGAGAGAAGCTCAGGCACCTCTCACTAGGGGAGCTCCCAGTAACAGCAAAAACATGCTAGAAAGATGCAATAACTGCCCAAACCACCCCAAATCAGCTTGTGGCCCTGGATGCTTTTGTTTTTCTTTTTCTTTTTTTCTTTAAAGATGACCAGTAAGGGAATCCTAACGCTTGACTTGGTGTTGTCAGCACCACGCTCTCCCAAGTGAGCTAACCAGCCATCCTTATATACAGATCTGAACCCGTGGCCTTGGTGTTATCAGCACCACACTCTTCCAAGTGAGCCACGGGCCGGCCTTGTTTTCTTTTTCTTAAAATACTTTTTATATTTTTATTTTGGGGGGGGCACTGGATGCTAATGGGAACCTGAGGTGTCTCACCAATGTGAAGTCCAGGCACAAGAAACAAGCCCCAGAGAGGCTAGCAAAGTCTGCATTCTAGGCAGATCACTCCAAAGGATGCCCCGAATCAGAGATCAAAGGCCTAGCCCCAGCCTAGTTGGCTACTAAGGAGACACAGGCTGATATCCTGTTACTAAGGAAGACTGTCCTTAGCAACTGCGCCTGGTGGAACCAGAAGCCTGCCCCTCTGATTATTCTGGGTGCAAGTGATAGACGCTCCAAGCCTGCACAACCAGACATAGCAGGGCTGGCTAAGTCTGCATCCCACAGTGACACTGTCTTCATAAATCTTAGGCCAAAACCTCTACCCCTTGCATCCCATGGCCAAGGAGGACTAATCTTTGGCTGCAGGCCAAGAGCGCATGAAAGCTAATTCCAGTGAGAAGCCTGGGCCTGAGTGCAAGAAAAGGCCCATCTATGGCTGTGGGGCCTGTCCCCAGCCAAGCCTGTGTCCCACCTCCGGTGGTGCTCACCTTCTGCTCCTCTGGCACCTGAATTTTCCTTGCCTTCTTCATGATTGGCTGGGGCTTAAGTTCCTCCTCTGAAAAGCGATGTCTCCGAGGGTCAAAGGTCTCATGGCCGGGAATGCTTGACAGGGCAAGATCAGCAGGGTCGGGTTCAAAGGTCATCAGCACCTCCACCGTGTCTGGGTCCACAGGGCTAGGTGTGTCCCGAGAGGTCAGGCCTTGGAGAAACAATGCATCACCTGAGTGTTTATTTTGGGAAGGGGGTTCCCAGAGGCTACCCCCTGCTCCCGTATCATATCTACCACATGGAAGGCCCTTCTGGGGGTCTAGCGTAAGGCCTTTCAGGGATTACCTCTCTAAAATGAAGGTTCTTAAAAATGAAGGTTCCCTAAGCCATAAAAATGCTTAGACATGAGCCGGCCCGTGGCTCACTCGGGAGAGTGCGGTGCTGATAACACGAAGGCCCCGGGTTCAGATCCCATATAGGGATGGCGGGTTAGCTCACTGGGTGAGCATGGTGCTGACAACACCAAGTCAAGGGTTAGGATCCCCTTACCGGTCATCTTTAAAAAAAAAAAAAAAAAAATGCTTAGACATAATGAAGCCAACTCCACTTTTAAAACAGGGAAACTGAGGCCACGTCATAACTGACTTGCCCTAAGTAACACATGAGTCAGGGCTATTGCTACTAAAACCTCGGAACTTCAGAGTCAGGGTATTAATTTCTTTCCCATAGTCTAGTTACTGACTCCCTGACCAAAGCTTAGACCCCAGGCTGTTCAGAGAAAAGGAATCTACTACATTGAAAAATCTCAAGTTAGACCCTAAGAGCTACTCGCTCCAAAGGGTTAGGGAAGATAAGGAGAAACATCTGAAGTTCCAGAAGGTTGATTTGAGAGGCGGCGCCTGTGCCTTTAAGCGCGAGCAACGGGGCCAGCTGAGGACACAGGTTCAGGGCCGAGTCACGTGCTGAAGCCTGCTACCCTCCTCTCTCTTCCCCACCCCCGCCACGGGTCCACTCACGTTCCCCATGCCCCGCACCCCCCCCGCGCGTGACGCGCGTGCGCGAAACGCGGAGGAGGGAAGGGCGGACTCACGTGGCGCGGGAATGTGCGGCTGTGAAGGGGAGGGCCTTGGTTCTGTCAGTAGGTCGGACCAGGGGCAGGTATGCCCAGGAATCCCTGACCTGTAGTTCGTCCCTGGAGACCTCAATGTGCCCGAAGGGAAACACCTTTCCTCTTGCTCTTTCAGGTCTCCCAGCTCCAACCTCTCAACCTCCAAGGATCCCGACCCCCCTGTTCTCTGGGTAGCACTGGAGAACAGGCCCTCTCGACCTCCCCAGGCTCCCAAGCCCCTCACCACTGCGGTGCCCATGATTTGGGGTCCCAGGTCCTCCTCGCCCGAGAATATAGAAAGCTCGGTCCTCGCTCCACTAGAGGATCCAGAATCAAAATTTCCGACCTTCTCCCCTCTGGAGGACTTCGGGACTCTGGGTAGAAGTACGCCCCAGCCCCCGCACGCGCACACACTGGGGACCCAGGATCCTGGGCTGCCAGTCCCTTATGTACTGGGGAAACGGAAGTCTGTGCTCAGCCCTCACCTTTTCCCCGGTAGAGGGCCTAGGAGTTCCGGTCCTATCCCAGTTTCACTCATTCTGGACCCAGATTCTGGGGCCCAGTCAACTCCCCAGTAAGTAACCGGTCTTCCCGGCTTCCAGTCCCGGCTCCACGAGTATCCACACTCTTTGTCCCCACGTCCCACATAAAAATCCACAATATCCTCACGGGCAGTCTTTTTTGAATTTGGGGTCCCAAATCCCTCCTCCCCTATGGATACAGGAGACCATGACCCATTATGGGATACAGAATATAGCCTCCACCCACGACATGTCCAGACCAGGAGACCCAGAAGCCAGGTCCGCAGCTCCAGTCCCACCCTCCCAGCCCCCAGCGCCGCACAGCCTCACCCTCTAGGGGCCCAAGCCCCGCCCAACCAGGGTTCCGCCCCGCCCCCTTCGCCGCACC